AGTAAAAAGAACAAGCAAAGCAAAAATATTTATTTATCTGGTTCTTATAGTAGTTTTAGTAACAATTATACTTATTTTTCATTTACTATATACTTTTACATACAAATCTTCCATGACTTCTTTACTTACACTGTAAATTTTTACTATTATTGTCTGTCTACTATTTGTATTGTTACACTATTTTTCTTTTTTTGCTTCTGAGGCGCAAACTAGTTGTGGTCTCTGGCAGAATGACCATCGCTGTGGAACACGTGTGCTTCACAGCATAATGCTGAGCCAGAGCTTTTTTGATAATTGTTATTTTGGCTGTTTCTGTGTGTGTTTCATTAGTAATACATGTTCTGTCTTATATCTGTCATACACAAATAAATATCTGTTTGATAGTTTTGTTACTGTACGAATTTATTTATAATGAACAATGGTTTTAAATATCTACTTAATTAGACGTACGAGTGTTTGGTTTGTAATTTTTCAAACCTTTTCATGAAAATCATATTTTCTTATTAATTTCATAACTTATGTCTGTAAATGTGTATTCCGTTTTTTGCTTATGTATTCTGTAGTATAGGAACTAGGTGTAGGAAAACTAATAATGAATCGCGCAGCAATCCTTCTTAGATTGCCTACAGATCGTCTAAAACCTTGTGCGGGGTAATTTTAAGTTTAATATAAAAGTACAACCCTGGATCGAATTGCAATTTCATTATGGCATAAATTACAATGTCAATTAATATGGTTTGACGTGTTCCCGGGTGCGGTCATAGATAGGTGGTAATTAGTGGCGACAATTAACCTCTAATCGACCGGCTTATGCGGACAGCCAATATGACGTGTAAGAATTGTCAAGGGTATTCTTTCCTTGAAAAAATCGGGAATTTACGCTTTTACAAAATCGCATGATCAATAACGGTAACAATCTAAAGTGAATAAATAATAGTTTAAAAAAACTAAAAAACACGCTTTTAAAGCACATCAAACTAAAAAGTGAAAAATAATTCCTAATTTAGGCTGAAAATGGTAATGAACAAAAAATACTGGTATTATTGTGAAAAAGCGTGGGGCGCTCTGTGCCATATTTTTCGTCTATCGAGCAACCCATAGTTTTTTTAAACTATTATTTATTTTTTTAGTTAAATTTTTTTTTCGGATTATTGCATTGTCATCGATCTTTGACAGGTGCGCAAAATTTGAATTAAATCTGTCCGTTTAAAGTGGGTAAAAATCGAGTCCGAAGGAGTCGGTTATATACATACATACATACATACAGGTGAAGCTAATATAAAGCGTGTAAAAAAAAATATAATTATGTCCCCGTGGCAGAGTTCCCTTTCAATAAATATTATTAGCTTAGGTCCTCCAAGAAAGGAGCGTACCGGTTCTTAAAAGGCCGGCAACGCACTTGCGAGCCTTCTGGCAATGTGAGTGTCCTTGGGCTGATTCACTTAATATCAGATGAGCCTCCTGCCCGTTTGCCACCTGTTATATAAAAAAAAGAGAAATTTCTTACCTAAATAATTATAAATTACTCAACTATTGAAATAATAACGTGTATCAATTATGCGTCATGGCACATGTCGTCAATTTTGAATTGGTAAACACTATTTAAGTTTTGACCTAACCTAACATTAGTTAAGTTACATATATATATAAATAATAATATATATGTCAATAATCAGAAGGGTAAACAAAATCATCGCACAATTGAAGCCAATAAGAGCCCGTTAGTTTCTACCACACTCATAAATTGCAATTTAACAATCTCGTTTCCGATAATGTCCAATAACATAAGTGTCTATTAGATTTACGAACTCTTCAATAAGTCAAGTTAGTTTTTTGTTAATCCAGCGTCGCAACCCCACTACCCCTATTCTTATCTTAGTTATAAGCATGTTCATGTCATGTTTTAACAATTAATGCGAGTAACCAAGCTTCAAATTGTTTTATGTGAACATATCCAAACTTAATTCTCGGAAAAAGAAAATATTGTACCATAATGTACCCCTTCTGAAGAAAGTTTTGTCAATGATTCCCACAATCTGCAGCTGTATTAAAACAGTAAAACATCACTGCGATAGCTAATTAGTAAGAGCATTATTTGCACGCCAGAACTGTATCCACGTGTCCACATCGATACACAATCACCCCTTCCCAAAACAGAGACAAAGTGTACATTAGTGGGAGGAGGGAGATTTTATTGCCTCCCACCTTAAAATATTGTCTGATTCATTAGAGGATATTTCACATTTAAGTTTCGTATGCTTTTCCGCGCGATGTTCACGATTCGGGGGGGCCGTTACGACGTCGCCACTTTTCTAAGGATACCATTTCGCGTAATAAGACTCTAAGAATCCGTTATACCCTTAATTATGGGGGGTATAGGGGTATAATGACATGTATGTAAATATACGTGTAACGGCTTAAGGTGGCGACGTGTGTACGCCTTAATGGCCCGGTTGTTTTCTTTGATTAAAGAATTTTATTACCGCATATAATTCACGATTAGACGCTAAAGGGTTGTGGGGTGTGAGATAAAACTGCGTAATGACGGGTGCGTGATTCGGAATCGTAATTGTTATTGCTGTGCATTTGTTAAGTATTGAGTATTTTGGATGTAGATATTGTTTGTATAAGAGCCTTTTTTTCCATACTTCCTGCTTTCGTACATATTTCTCTATATAGTTTGTATCAACACCTTCATTGAACAAATCTACCTGTTCATTCGTTGTGTTATTAATTATAGCTTGTATATAACGTTATGAGAAGTGTTGGCCTAGTGGCTTCAGCGTGCGACTCTCATCCCTGAGGTCGTAGGTTCAAACCCCGGCTGTGCACCAATGGACTTTCTTTCTATGTGCGCATTTAACATTCGCTCGAACGGTGAAGAAAAACATCGTGAGCAAACCGACATGTCTTAGACCCAAAAAGTCGACAGCGTGTGTCAGGCACAGGAGGCTGATCACCTATTAAATTTAAAAAAAATCATGAAGCAGATTCAGAAATCTGATGCCCAGACCTAAAGAGGTCGTAGCGCAACTTATTTTTTTTATATGACGTAATGTATCAGTCATTGATAAATTAATGTCCTTCAAGAAAAGAGCGCACCAGTTCTTAAAAGGCCGGCAACGCATTTGCGAGCATTCTATCACTTAATATCAGTTTAGCTCTTGCTTTGCCAAATTTTGTTTATTGAATTTTTCATGTTTTTATTTACTTTGTATATGTATTAGCTATGTAACCGACAAGGCTGTATTGCTGTCAGCCTTAATATTTATTTTCCTTTTGTGTGTGCAGAACTGTAATATAGTTTTTGTACCTTATTAATTTAAATACGAACTAATGTTTACTATGCCAGAATTCGCTAAAACATAAAATCACTATACGAACAAATTAGATTATAAAATAAAATAAAAATCACCGCCATTCAGCCCTCTATCATTAAAAATGAATATTATTCATTACAATTTTCAGATTTCTCTTTTAAAACCAACCTCATTAGTTGTAAAAACAGTGCGGAAAAATCATCCCATTATGAATTTTAATCAGTGTATCTCGTAAAACACTAATGGCAGTACGGCTTTCGAGTAAGATAGATTTGAAAGTATTTTCTAGTACCTTTTGAGCTCTTTATAAATAAAAGGCTTGGTGATAATGTATAGCAGTGTTAGCCTAGTGGCTCCAGCGTGCGACTCTCATCCCTAAGGTCGTAGGTTCAATCCCCGACTGTGCACCAATGGACTTTCTATGTGCGCATTTAAAATTCGCTCGAAAGGTAAAGGAAAACATCGCGAGGAAACCGGCTTGTCTTAGACCCAAAAATTCGACGCCGTGTGTCAGGCACAGGAGGCTGATCACCTACTTGCCTATTAAATTAAGATCATGAAACAGATACAGAAATCTGAGGCCCAGACCTAAAAAGGTTGTTAAATGAATGCTTAAAGAGACATCCTGCGTGAAACCCAAAAACTACTGAATATGTATGTATATATGAATACAAAAATGGGATTCTTGGGAGGTTTTATTTTACTAGACTGAAATTAATATATAAACATTCCACTTCGATAGCACTAATATTGGTTAACGTAAGTACCTACTACAAATTAAAAAAAACAACTTACAGCCATCTTAGTTCGTAGGAGTGTAAATTACATGATATTTAGTTTGTGAAAATAATAGAATAAACGAATTGCAACTAAAAGTATGCGATATGTTGTGACTGATCTATTACCTAGGGTTAGGTTTTAGATTTTTTTATTGAAAAGGGTAGGAACCTCATCTGATGTTAAGTGATACCGCCGCCCATGGACATTCACACTGCCAAGGATCGCAAGTGCGTTCTTGGCGTGTTAAGAATTGATACGCTCTTTTCTTGAAGTAACATTATTTTGGTTTAAATAAACATGACTCTGAAAACTCTACCCCATGACAGTATAGCTGTATGCGGCATAACTTCAAAAACTTCAGACAGAGAATGAGGCTTCGCTAACAAGACTTCAAAAATTCAAATTCAAAAATCATTTAATCATGTAGTTAACACAATGTACACTTATGATCGTCAAAAAAAAAAGAAATGTATATGAAATGCTTCTAACTTTACATTTAGTGCCAGTTCTCAAATCAAGGGCAGAACGGAAGAGAAAAACTGGAAATAAATTCTCCGCCACTCTTTTTAATTGCCATTAATTTTTACACAACGTTGTAAGGAGCTGCAACTATTTCACTAAACGCCAAACGGTTTCCTTCAAATATAAAAAAAGCAAGGCAGGGAAGTTTCTTAGGCCCCATTCTATTTCCCTCAAACATCTTAATTTCCATACGCTGTTCATTTGTAATGTATGTCTCGTGAGACCATTTTGTGGTTTCCAATATGTTTCTTGAACTTTGTACTAATCAACTGTATGGTGAACTATATTCTGGTGTATAGAATACATATGTATGGTCCTTAAACACATAAGGAAAGATATAGTATTATATTTCGGATCAAACAGAAATGCCTACATTGGTCACGTCCAATGATAGTAGTGACACTGTTTCCGATTATTTCGATCTTGTTCTCTCAAGACGTTGCGCTGAATTTCAGCGGCGTCAAGCAGAAAAGCCTGATCCCATACTTGGTCTATGTTTACAGTCCTGTAATATATAATTTTTATTAATTGTGGTACCTAGAATTAATTTTGATTGTCTTTAGATTTATTTTTCTTTTTAGTTTGGTAATTGTATAATTACATTGCTACTTGTAATTTAATTTTTGTTAATTTTAAAATATTTATTTTTATTTTTCGTCACGTTCCTAATTTATGTTACCTGATTGTAAGTGTACTATTAATCATAGGAAATCATTAAATAAAGCCTCATAGGATTACTGTACTTTGAACTTACATAACAAGTGTATTGAAGATATGTCAATTACATTTGCTAACGTTACGTTCTTAGGCCCTGTAATTTTCGGACATTATCGAATTAAAATATTTAACGCCATTTCCAGGCCGTGAACGTCATACAAAAGCGTCCTATAACGCCACTTGTCGTCTAATGAGGCACCTGAACCGAGGGGACGGGTGGGGGAAGGGAGACCGCAACACTTACCGACGGTTTACGATCGCGATCTGCGTTAAACGCGCATTAAAAATGTGCTAACAGCGATGATGCTGGCACAGAGTAGGTAAAATAGTGCACATACAGCTGATATAATTCATATACACACACACGGGGCTGTTATCGCATCCTTGCTACACGCTACTTCTAAAAAGGCATATAAAGAATTGTGGCATCTACATCTAATTTTACACAAGACATTGCACATGGTTATTTTTTTTTTTACAAAAATCTGCAGGCAAGAGGTTACAGCGAACCTCTTACCGAAAACGGGTAAATATTTGAATGGAAATTTAAAGATCAAGAGAATCTAGGGGTAGGAGTTGAGACTTCCTGATCACTCATGATACTGAAGACGAATGACGGAAGAGTGACTGATGGGTCAAACGACGTTTTTGATGTCTCGAGTGTCCCTCTGATACGATAATACACACATGTTATATCATCCAGTGTTTTCGACTTGATCTACATAAAAGCATTAGAATAATTTTACTGTTAAGTAAATCAAGAGAAGAGTCTTATAAGCGAGCCTTCTGGCAATGTGAGTCTCCATGGGCAGTATCACGTAATATCATGTGAGCCTCCTGCCCGTTTGCCTCCTATTATATAAAAAATCGCCGTTTCTAAGAACACATAGATACGTTTTGTGTTTTAAATGTTTAACTGATTTGTCTACTCTGTGTTCTGTTGATTGGAACGCATAGCTGCTACTTCAAGAGCGTGGCTTAATTGGTATCTTTGATTAAATTTTTCAATAACAGCGTATTTAAAAAAGTTTTTAATTGGTACATTTTATTGTGAACTTATAGCTTTGATTATAAGAGGTCATAAGTGGTTTAGATACATAATCGAATACGATAAAAAGGGGTAAAAAATATCTTATATTTTATTGATGCGTTATTTTTTTTATTTTAAGGGGGGGGGGGGGGGGGGGGGGGGGGAGCTCACCCTTGCCCCCCCCAAACCCGAAAAAAAAAATGGGGGTGGGGGAGGGGGGGGGGGGAGGGGAAGGGGAAAGGGAAGAAGAAAGGGAAAAGGGGGGGGAGTTGGGGGCAACTTCCCCCCCCCTACCAACGTAAAGGATTTGAAGTTCCGGACATGGCATCTGCGTATTAATTGTATTTTAAATTATTGTTTAAAATTTATATTTTATACATACTTTTTTTTTTTAAAAAAAAAAAATTTTAAAAAAAAAAAAAAAAAAAAAAAAAAAAAAAAAAAAACAAAAAAAAGAAAAAAAAAAAAAAGGGTTAAAAAAAGGGGGTTTAAAAGGGGGGGAAAAAAAAAAAAAAAAAAAAAAAAAAAAAAAAAATTTTTTTTTTTTTTTTTTTTTTTTTTTTGGAAAAAAAAAAAAAAAACAAAAAAAAAAAAAAAAAAAAAAAAAAAAAAAAAAAAAAAAAAAAAAAAAAAAAAAAAGGGGGGGGGGGGGGGGGGGGGGGGGGGGGGGGGGGGGGAAAAAAAAAAAAAAAAAAAAAAAAAAAAAAAAAAAAAAAAAAAAAAAAAAAAAAAAAAAAAAAAAAAAAAAAAAAAAAAAAAAAAAAAAAAAAAAAAAAAAAAAAAAAAAAGGGGGGGGGGGGGGAAAAAAAAAAAAAAAAAAAAAGGGGGGGGTAACACCAAAAGAAAAAAAAAAAAAAAGGGGGGGGGGCCCCCCCCCCCCCCCCCCCCCCCGGAAGAAAAAGAAAGGGGGGGAGGGGGAGGGGGGGGGGGGGGGGGGGGGGGGGGGGGGGGGGGGGGGGGGAGGGGGGGGGGGGGGGGGGGGGGGGGGGGGGAGGAACGAGGGGGGGGGGGCCAAAACCACCAAAAATTTTTTTAAAAGGGGGGGGGGGGGGGGGGGGGGAAAAAAAAAACCCCCCCCCCCCGCCCCCCGGGGGCCCCCCCCTTGCCCCCCGGGGGGGGGGCCCCCCCCCCCCGGGGGGGGGGGGGGGGGGGGGGGGGGGGGGAGCGGGGGGGGGGCCCCCCCCCCGGGGGAAAAAAAAAAAGGAAGGTTTTTATTATTTTGGGGGGGAAAAAAAAAAAAAAAATTGGGGGGGAAAGGGGAAAAAAAAAAAAAAAAAAAAGAAAAAAAAAAAGGGGGGGGAAAAAAAGGGGGGGGAAAAGAGGGGAAAAAAAAAAAAAGAGGGGGGGGGGGGGGGAGAAGGGGGAAAAAAAAAAAAAAATTTTTTTTTTTTGGGGGGGGGGGGGGGGAGGGAATAGGGGGGGGGAAGAAAAACAAACCACCCCAAAAACAACCAAAAGCAACCAAGGGGGGGCAGGGGGTTTTTTTTTTAATTTTTCTCTCCCTAAAAAAGGAAAAAAGAAGGTTGCCATCCAGGTTGCGGTGCTACGAACTAATAAAAAATTTTAATATGAATAAAAAAAATTTAAGTTGATGGACGAGCTTAAATTAATATTTATTTGTTAGAAAGTACAGTGGTTTTTTTGGGGAAACCCCGTAGATGCACAACCAAGTACTGATTAATTTAAAATTACAAACCGAAATTTGAGAAGACGTCACTTAAAAATAAATAGTATAATGAAATAAAAATGTTTTAAAGAAAAAGTCTTTTCTTTCTTTAATGTAAAAAATTTAAAAATCATAGTATCTGTAAAAAATATCAGCAATGAATAAATAAATTATATATTTTTGGGTATAGAAGTGTTGGCGAGTGCAGCTCATCCCTGATGTCTGTGACCGATGGACTTTCCTGTCTGCCTTAAACCCAAACATTGACGGTGTGTATCAGGCACAGAGGCTTATCACCAATTTGCAAGAAGTCAAAGTCAAAATCACTTATTCATATGGGTAACACAATGTACACACTAATGATTGACAAAAAAAATACATTAAATGCTTCTAATTTTACATTTACAGTTACAGTTCTCTTCCGTTCTACGCCCTTGATTTGAGAACTGGCAATAAACTCTCCGCCACTCCTTTTAATCGCCAAGCTATTTCTTTTACACACCGTTTGTAAGGAGCTGCAACACCATGTTCCACATGACATCTTAAGTAATAAATAATAATAAAATTAAAAACAAACATTTGCCCTCTATTAGCAGGAGGCATGGTGAAATAGGAGCACGCACTTACATTCTCGTGGGAACAACACGCAAATACATAGTCGAAATAACTAACATAAGAGCAAATCAAGGGTTTTAGCGCTACCGATTTTCGCATGGTCACTTCAACGCCATTCGTTAGCAAATCATTATTAATTTTACTATGTAATATATAAAATATTCTTACCTTCCACAAGGTATGCATTTTCCCCAAGGAGCCCTGGTCCTTCCTCTTGGGCATATATCGCCCATAATTAACCTATTTTGGATATCGTGTCCTTCATAATCCATTGAATGCTCTTGCAGTTCTGAAAATACATTAAGTTACTTTGTTAATGCAAGCACAATAATATCTTTATACGAGAAAGTTAAAATCTTGTTCGCGTCTCGTTGGTTGTCCGCTATGGACTCAACTACTTAACCGATTTCAATAAAATTTGCCCACCGTGTGCAGTTTGATCTAACTTAAAAGATAGGATAGCTTACATCTCAATTTATACCTGCAATATTATTTTATTTATTTATTATTTGACAGTCACAATTCTAACAGATGGCGCTGTGTTGAAAGTACCAACTTTCACATTACTACAATTTAATGACATAACTTCCATGCGTGGTGGCCCTCATGACTGGTGTTCTCCTACCGTTCCCTTGAACTATGTAATATAACAAAAATACTCAGCCACACCAACGCTTGGCCGAGTCTGCTAGTAAAATATAAATAATACTTGTGAACCTATTATCTACATTTTATCGGACAATATTCGAGATATTATTGTATAACAAATTAGCTTTTACAATTCATTTTATAGCTAATTTGACCGGACGGTATGAGTTTGATTTCATGGAAGATGGGCGGATTGCTGGTATGGGATGCAACCTGTTCAGACACGCTGGCCCCTTCCCATCTACATGGAACCAACAACAGAGCTGGTGAAAGGGCTGAAAAACCTAAAGCATGCATTTTTAAGAGTCATCCTCTGCACTCTAAATCTTATACTAAAATTCGACCGTGGACCAATACATTTTTCGTCCTATGTGCGCAATGAACACTTGATTTCCAGTACAGGCGACTTGCTTCATAGTTAGAAACATCGTGAGGAAACAGGGGCATGTCTTCAAATTAAAATCGTAACGTTTGATGCAGAAACCTAGTGATACTTGTAAATTATAAAAGCGTATATTGAAGATTTTGAAAAATATATGAGAGGCCACTACCAGAAACCTGGGAAAAACGATTGGAAAATAGTAGCCAAGATGAGAGACAAAAAAATTTTGGAGGTTTTTCTCCGTTGGAGATTATATATTAAATACAATAATAACGTAAACTTAATGTAATCCGTATTATAGTACTCGAATATAGGCAATTTTTTATTATAATTATTGATCGCGTCTCTTGCGCACCCAGCATATTATAGCATGTGAGACGGATACATTTAGTTGAACAAGAATTGCATTATTTATAAAAAAGTTTAGGTTTTCTTGATTAATATTTATTTTAATAAGTTTTCTATTGAGTTACTGTAAAAATAGGAAGTTAATTAATACATTTTTAAGATTTTTTTCTCATTATTAAAGTTCTTTTTTATTATTCTATATACAGTAAATAAATTATAATTTACCTTGATAATTCTGAAGGTCGTCGTCGTCAATAGTCGGCAAAGAATATACACTTGCAACAAAACAAATGAAAATTAACAAAATAGACATCTTCATGATTTTAAATAAAATAAAATTATTAGCAAAACAGGTGTTATCACTGTCCAATACGTCAGCATTAATGCAATATACTGTGACCTCTGACGCTTTAAATCTTGAGGATATATTATTATTTTGTCGTAATTTGATAACAACTACAATTACAATTTAAATACATGAAATATTACGGTTTATTATTTTAATTGTTATATAAAGGAGGAGGAGGGTTCTTTAAGACAAAAATCAATAAATATATACTTTATGTTAATTTTATAAGTACAGTCAAAATCTGTTAACGACATCGATGACGTTGTTATTAAGTACCTAATACAATAGAATTCAGCCGGGACCTTTGATTTTGGTCAATATAACCGGTATGTTGTTCTAAACGATGTCATCGTAAACAGTTTTGACTGTAGTAATAAGATTATATCTAATATATAAAATTCTCGTGTCGCGGTGTTTGTGGTTAAACTCCTCCGAAACGGCTTGACCGATTCTCATGACATTGTGTGCATATTGGGTATGTCTGAGAATCGGACAACATCTATTTTTCATCCCCCTAAATGTTAAGGGTAGTCCACTCCTAAATTATTATTTTTTAATTTTTAGATATTTTTTTTATGATACAGCATTAAAAAATACATACACCCCTAATTTTCACCGCTCTACGATCAACCCTTATTTTTTTATTATAAATGATATACATGGCAAAACGACGTTTGCCCGGTCAGCTAGTATTTTATATAATTCACTTTACTTTCATTTTTTTAGTACTGTATATTGCAAAAACTAACTTTAACGTTACCAAAAAATATATGTGGTATAATATTTTGACGAATGAACTGTTCTAAGTGTCTCATATAATGCTAAAGGAAGAATATAAGCGTTTGTTATATATATTTCTTAGTAAATTTCATGCTAATTTAAAATTAGGTAGAAATGAGATTTCTTCTACATGTTAGTAAATGTTTTAGGTTATTATTTGGCTTAATCATTACACAAATTAATTACTTGTTTCAGGTAAGAAAGTTAGAACACCACAGACAAGGTATTACGTATACTAATCTATATTTTTTTAAATAATATTATATCAGCCTGTTCCAGCTTTACACGGTTAGATTTAAGTATAAAATATAGCCTAATTAAACGTAAATTAATCAATAAAGCTTTTTATAAAATTGATGATTATTTAAATGATCCTAATCCTTGGGATTGATTTGCTCCAGTTCAAAATTGTATGACTCAAAACTTGGCGATTAAAAAGAGTGGCGGAGAGTTTCTTGCCAGTTGTTCTAGCCCGCTCTACGCAATTGACTTGCGAACTGGTAGCAAATGTAAATTTACAATCAATTTAACGTCATTTCCGTTGACGTCCATAAGTGTACTTATTTACCTATATGAATAAAGTTATTTTAAGTTTGAGATTATCCCGGAGGATAATGATGTTTATGATGTGTTGTGTCCTCTTTGTATGATACTATATTAGTTGTATATAAGATCCAAAATATATATAAATGAGCAGTGTTGGCCTAGTGGCTTCAGCGTGCGACTCTCATCACTGTGGTCGTAGGTTCGATCCCCGGCTGTGCACCAATGGACTTTCTTTCTATGTGCGCATTTAACATTCGCTTAAACGGTGAAGGAAAACTTGGCGAGACAACCGATGTGTCTTAGTCTCAAAAAGTCGACGGCGTGTGTCAGGTACTGGAGGCTGATCACCTACTTGCCTATTAGATTTAAAAATGATCATGAAACAGATTCAGAAATCTGAGGCCCAGACCTAAAGAGGTTGAAGCGCCACTTGATTTATATGATCCAAAAACTACCAAGGTACTACCACTACTTCGGTTGTTATTATCACAACGCGTTTATAACGAATGGCTAATTATGGATAGAAGTTCATGAAATCATGAGTCTATATAAATGAACGAACGATACTGATTTTAAAAGAGCTATGTTGGCTTGTGGCTTAAGCGTAGAACTCTCAATGCAGTAGTCGTAGGTTCGAAGCCCGGCTCTCCACTAAGGGACTGTTTCTATGTGCACAATTAGTGTCGTTCGTACGGTGGGGGAAAAGATCGTAATCGGCATGTTTAAACTAATAAGTCGTCGATGTGTGTTAGGGCAGAAGGCTGATCACCTATTTCCTTGTAAAGAAATATAAAAGTAAATTGCCGTTCGTTTGTCTCGCTAATTTTGATTAGGTTTGAATGGAAACATAAATAAAAATACTACAAAAAATTGAATTCTCAAATAGAAACTGTTCCTAGCTGGGAAATATTTGATGTCCTTTTGGAATTAAAAACTTATCACTTGGTTGTTATTTATTGTTTCATAGCTGTAGTACGAGGTCCGATCTCTTTGGTCTGTTTTAAAATGTATTAATTTGCGACACAAATATATGTAAGTGATTCAATTTTCATTAGGTCATCTAATAAAAATAATACAGAAATTATACCAAGAGCAAATGTTTAATCGCCACTTTTTATTGAATTCTATCCCCTACTGTCATACCCGAAGGTCGCTTTTAGTTTGACTCATCTACGAACAGTTGCGATTCTGAACCAATATCGGCTGAACAAAAACCTCAAACCGCTAATAGCAAATTAAACTGATGACACCACGGTAAGACAAAGTAAACTTATTAAAACTCCCGATATCCGATGAATGGTTAACGAGTTTAACCCTTGCGGTTACTTGGGCGGAACGAATCGCTGAATTTTTGATCTCCACCGTGCTGGGGTGTCGCCAGCATTATTAACACTTAATATTTAGGAGACGCGAGGGGTGCTACATGGGTACTTTATACTATTTGCGTTATAAGTTTTAAGTTCGTAAATAAATAGTAAATTATCTGGTAATTTAAATGAATTGAGTGAAAATTAAAAAGCGTTTTCTAAGGCAGTTTTTAGCGCACCACCGCTATGTGGGACCAGCTGCCCACTGAAGTGTTTCCGAACCAGTTCGACTTTGGGTCCTTCAAGAAATGAGGGTACCAATTCTTGAAAGGCCGGCAACGCACTTGCGATGGCAATGTGAGTGTCCATAGGCGGTGGTATCACTTAACATCAGGTGAGCCTCTTGCCAGCTTGCCTCCTATTACATAAAAAAAGCAATAATAGCTTTGCAAGCTCGTCGTCACTTACTTAGTTGGGCTTGTTCGACAACTCCCTGCCTTGCAGTTTGCAGTATCGTCTTACAAAGTAAATGGAGACGATGGATGACGGCCAATAGACACATACTGCCAGAAGGCCGGCCTTTTGGGAGTCGTTACACTGTGCGTTACAATTTGGTCATAAATAATAAAATAAAGTTGTTTAATGAAGCCCTCGTCTGCAGAACACGTAATCGGGTCAAGCTAAAAAACATAGTCATGATACAATTTGTGCATTTTAGTATCGCGACTCTAGTGAGCCAAATTGTGTATTTTTTATAGAATGGTTGTTTAATAGGAGATCAAACATTTCCATAGCCTAAAGAAGGTAAAGATGGTCTGCTTCGTAACTATTTTTACAGAAAATAGATGATACACTTTCTATGCCTATCGGAAGGAGATCCCAAGACTTACGATTATCTCCACCAAAACGTAGTAGCAATAAATATCCGTTAAGGCTTTGAAGCTTATAAGAAGAACTTATAAAGAAATCACAGGTGTCTCTGGGCGATCATTATCCATAGTGTCAGTTTAATACTTCATAAATTCAAATTTGGAATCTTCAACCTAAATAAATGTAATATTCTCTAAAGCAAAATTCTTTGCCGTACAAACAGATAACACATTCATATCTCAACGGAAGCTGTCTGTTTTCCTGAAGTCTAATTTGTTTAGCCCCCTCCCATTGTCTTGGAGGGCTCACGGGCGATCAATTATAGAGGTTTTCATATGCAAATATCGTGGGAGCAATTTTAATTAGCTATTTTGATTGCGTTGTATATATTGATTAGGTTCGTTTCGGCTGTTTTATTATTCACGATGTTTGGATGTTTTCGTATGGGGAGCGTGTTTTTGAAATGTAAAGTTTGTAGGAGTTTATCGTGTCTTGTTAGTTAACTTGATATTTTGCGTGCATTTGATAGATTTTCATATGAATGGATTATGGAAAATTTTGTTATATAGAACAGACGATTAAGGGGCCGTTCAGGTATTACGTAAGCCCTATAGGGGGAGGGGGGTTCTATGATTTTCATATTATGTATTTATGTTAACAATAATTAATTACTTTTTTACATATATTACCCAAGACATTGTCTATGCTTGAAAACGAAATGCGAGGATTCCTACAAAAATTAATATGTTTATGTACTATTATTTTTGAGAGCTTTGCTTACTTTTGCTGACAATAGGAGGGGGGGAGAGGTTAAATTGCAGTAAATCTGCTTACGTCTGGGTCCCAAACGGACTCGAAGACAATGGACAATGACAGAAAAAGGTACTGGGAATATTTTGACAGATCATATTTTAATCATTACGTTTTTAATATAAACCTTTATATTATTTGGTTCTTAATTGACAGTTCTAGAATTTTGCCCCTAAAACTTGTTGGTGTCATAGTCTCTACGCCGAGTTTTTTTTAATCGAAAAAAGCTTGCCAACGCTCGGCACACTGATATATTGGTGAAAGAAGTGGTTCTTTTACCAATATATTAGTGTGCCTAAAAATATACAATTTTTACTTATAGGCAAACATGACATACACGATGAGATAATACAAATATTAAACAAAACAAATAAAATTACAAAAACTAAACGAAAAATTGATTTTAAAGTGTAAGGAGATCAACTATGGATATCCAGACCTAGCTCATTCACTATCTTTCTTAAAAATACTCTTTCTGTTATTGTGTTTTACACCGTAATAAACGAGGGCCTTCCTCTGGTGCGAATTTAAAGCTTACTATCCGTAGAGATACTGTTGACCAATCTCAATGAAACGCAACGCAATCGTTTGTACATTCTCGCCTCACAGATTAGTACTTCAGTTGTAGTACAACTGATTTAATTTTTATCAATAAAG